AAGTTGGGAGCGGCGAGACAGATGATGATACCGTGACATCGTCACTGGGGAGATCGCGCACAGTTATCTCGATAAGTCGTACTTATTTGATGCCGCTAAGTCATTTTGCCAAGTTCCGCAAAATCTTCAGGAGCGGCCCGCGTCGGCCCGAGGTACGCTCAGGTCCATGTAGCAGGGCGGGCAGCTGCGCGCCGGATTTGACCAAGAGCCTTTCCGAGTCTTCGTCCAGCTCTCTTGGCTCCCCACGCGCATGCTTACTTCCAAAGGGCATGACACAGACGGTGTCCGCAATCTCACATACATCAGCATCCCGGTAACACGCGCTCAGGCCCGTCCGCACCTTCTGTTTTTCCCGTCGGATTAGTAGTAAGTATAACGTGCAGATATTTATTTATACATTCGCAAATTTCACTCCATCTCCAACGATCCCGCTGTCCCTCCTTTTTCTTCCTTCTCACTTCGCCGCCAGCCTTCACCGACACCGCGAGATACCCACCCGCCCAAACCACCGACCGCTCGCCATCACCCGTGATAGAAGCCCGACCACACCGCCCACAAGCCACGCGCACCTAGAAAGATCAGAACAGGTCAGCGACGGCGTCAAACGCACAGAGAAGAGTCGAAAGAGGGGCTGATAGTCGCCAACAAAGCAGGCACAACTCCAGGACCACAGCGGATGTGCGTCCGCTGCTGCTGTGCACTGCATCGCGCAGGGCATCAGGCCACCCAGGGGGCGATGGCAGAGCACAGCAGCCCACCGCACTGGCAAGGCAGATCCTCGGGCAAAGTCCGCGGCACTAGTGTCTCCGAGCGCGCACAGGGAAGGCGAAGCCCCACTGTCCCGCCAGAAGCAGAAGGCCAGTGTGAGACGACGTCGGAGGCGTCCGCTCCCGGACGTGTCCTCGCGTTGTCCGTGCGTCCATTCCGCTGACGCCTGCGAATGGCCGGGCGGAGGACCAACCAGACGGCGCGATAGCGGATAGCGCGCGCAGAGTCATGCGAGTGGTCTGACCCGAAGACGCGGACGACGGGCGACCTGTGCGTTGACCACAGGCTGGCATTCGAAGGGACGTCCGGAGCACGGGAGGAACGTGGCAGATAGGCTGGACCACACGCCAGGGCAGATGTGGTATCCGTCTCGTCTCTCTGGCTTCTGACTTCTGGTGTACGGGGAACAGCAATACAGATTCCGAGAATGATCGTGAGAGCCCGCGGGCTAGGCGTGAACGAGCGGTGCCGTCTGAGATCATGCAACGTGAACGCGCCAAGAGGAAAAAGGAGAGCAAGAACCAGCGATAGAACAAATCAGAACGGGCGCGAGAATAATGCTGGGAATAAGGAAGGAGAATGCGGAATGCGGAAAGGAGAGTGTGCAATGTGAAGAAGCAAAGAAACAAAGAAACAGGAACGTCTAGTAGAAATCTTCATACATGTCAAAATCAGATACATACTCTTCGTCCTCGTGCAGCGTCGGGAGCGTTGATGTCCGCGACCGTCTCGATGTCTCCGAGGCGCAATAAACTCGCGTTGCCGCAAGCTTCTCGCTCACGTCGTCTTCTTCCGGGGGGAATACGCGAAGTGACGGCGTGCTCGTAGTCCCAAAGTAGGAGTCCACGGGAGACAGCGGGTCCGCGTTTGATAGTGGCGAGAGCGAGCAGACCGAGAGACCCGGTGTGAACGGCTCGTCCTCCTCGTCTAGTGCGTCGTCCAGCGAAAGCGACGTCATTGATGTGCTCGCGTAACTGTAGACGTCAATGCCTGAGATCGAGAAAAGCGACGTTATGGTGGACGTGCTCGAGTTCGCGAATGTCGTGAGCGTCTGGGTCGGGCTTGGAGGGGATGGTAATGGTAGTGGGGGTATGGGCATGGCGGGTGGGGGCAGTGGCGCGAGTTTCAGGTGTCGTCGTGCATGTTGGACACGCGGGGAAGCCACCACACGCCGCCCTGCAAGTCATTCCGGCGGCGGCGGCGGCTTCCCCGCCTGCC